TCTCCTATGGAGCATATTCATCGGGTCTGGGGTTCAAAACTGTCGTGTCTTAAAAACCTTACTTTTCAGGATATCCAAAAAAAAATATTTTCTCTTCGCACAGATAATTTGGGGACGTGTTATTGTGTTTTTTTTCCACATTGCAGGTTGAAACACATGCCGAATGTGTTAATGGATGTTTTGAAATTGTATCTCTTTCAGTTTGGATGGTACCTTAGTTACGTTATTATGGCACTGATTTTTCGGAAAACAGAACTATCGTAAGTCGAGTTAAAAACTTCCTTTATGAATTACATAGTATGTCGTATGTCAAGTTACGATGGTTTCGCTGCCAAGGAGGACATATTCCAATCTATTTATACATAGAGATGGGGTACCTGTATGATGCACATCTTTCTAGGTCGATGCAAGTCCGTGGCAACAAAACTGTCGTGATTTGATGCTACTATACTTTTGTATAAAAATATATTTACATTTGGTTTCTAAAGTATTATAAGTCAAGAGACAATGCTTTTTAAAGATTTCGTTGCAGTTAAACAATACATTTTAATAAAGTCATAACTTTTTTTTATTTATTGAGCTTGTGGTGCGCGGTTTTGACATAAGATGCGCATAAAAATACAGTTTAACATATCTTTTGGTGCAAAAACATCGTAACTCGTTGTGAAACCCCGGCCCGATATCAGATAAGTCAAGTTCTTTAAAGAGTGGAAGTGTGTTTGGCCTAGGATTCAGCCAGGCTTAGATAAAGATTACGTTAATTAGAAATGAATAACGTTTATGATAGGGTTGGCGTTAAAATTATTGGTCCAGTACGGCTGTGTCTGAATTAAGAAGACAATTATTTAAGTAAAACTGTGTTCCTCAGAAGAAGAAAAAGATGATTACGGTGCTGGGGACTGGGGAGCTTGATGCAAACAACAACAACAAAAACCAAGAAACAACAGTCCAACATTGTTTTTTAAAAGCTTTCGAAGATTAACCACAGGATGAACTTGTCAACAATAAATGTCTCTATGGCGACTTGCAACATAACAACAAATGTTTCATTATCTAGAAAGGAACAAAAGTCCAAAGGAAGTTATGACAGCCAGAGAAAGAAAGAAAGAAAGAAAGAAAGAAAGAAAGAAAGAAAGAAAGAAAGAAAGAAAGAAAGAAAAAGAAAGAAAGAAAGAGGGGAAGAGAGGGGGGGGGGAGTAAGGGAAGTGCACAAGTTGCAGTAACAAATAGTCTACAACAGGGGAAAATGGGCGGGCACGCTGTATAAGTTTCGTAATTTTGTGTTAGAATTGACAATTCACGAGGGACGGTTTTCAAAAGCAGGAGAAAGAAGGGTTGGCAATTCTAGTACCTACAAGATGACTACGTTTAACAAAAGAAATCTGTTTCTGTACTTTTTATGGGTTTTTTTTTAATCAAATAACGATTCAAAAGACTAATCAAATACCCCCCCCAAAAAAAAGGAAAAGAAGATGCTTTTTTTAAACAGATAAAATGGAAGCTGTTTTTATTGAAACCATTGACGATTCCTACACACTAAAGGGCATGTTCTAGATTTCTAGATTCAAAATTTTTAGAAAGAAAATGTTCTTAAAAGTAATGAGAGCTTTCTGCCCCTTTTCTCGCCATCGATTCTCCACTTTTTGTTAGATAATAATTCATGGGGGGGAGGGGGTTAAGACCTTTGAAAATCTGCTTGCCAATATGTTAACAGATATTATATTCGACTGTTTTGTGTGAGCGAAAACTCATTATTGTCCGAAAATGTTAAAACATAGTGACCCAACTATTATTATCTCAGCAGACCTTAGAACAGTCAGAAACATTCTCGGCTCTTATACTGACGCTAAGACACTAGCATACGAACAAGATCTTTCATTATCTATAGCCATGTACTCATCTACACCCGGGTGTAGTGAGTTTACATTCATGTCAAGTGCCTTTCTCATGGACACAATGTTAGGCTGACTCTCGAACATCCCAACCCGTAACCTCACCATTAATCATAGCAATAAATTAAATACGAGCTTTAGTTCGATTTCATTTTTTTTTTAATTTAATTTACGGCACTTGCAACACAGTGAGGTCGTTCAAGTGCTGAAGATTAGACGTGTTGTAAGAGCGCAAAAAGCATAAATAAATGAGAGAAAAGGATGATAGATCTTTTATAGGAGAGAAGGAGCAAACCACACCAGAGAAACCCGCTTACCAACCACAAAATAAGAGCTTATCATGATTTGAAGGCCTTTTGAGCATATCTTCACTAAACTACAAGCTGTCTGCGTGTTACAATCTGTATTAGGTAGTTAGGATTATGAAACCAGTAGCCTAACCTATAGACTACCGACCCCATTATTCCTGCACATGTCACTCTTAAATAACTGATTGGTTTGAAGGAAAACCTTCTAAAAAGACATATCGTCGGCTGCCTGTTAAAATGTAGCTTACTAAACCTCAAATTATGACTTTTACTTTAATGCATTTTTTTAATCTGTATTTCTGGTTACATTTGCTTAATATATACTGTATCGAAATTAAAATTCTAAAAGTTGAAGAAGTCCAGAAAAGATACATAAAGTATGTAAAATTGTTGATTAAAATAATGAAACTTTTTTTTTTTTAATCTCTCGTGAAAATTTTGCTTTCTGGTCTTTGCCAACAATATGGAATGGAAATTAGATAATCCTGCTGGACAAATTGAATGTTTCTCGGAAAAGAATACTTATAGGCCTATTAACTTCAGGTGTGGCTGGCTAGTGGGGAATTCTAAGTTCATAATATTATTATGTCCAACATATTATGCCCTCTTGGAGAATGTTTGCCTGTTTTCATTCAATCACACTTTTTTAATAGTCAAAAGATGTTTACTACTCGAGCAGACCAAAATTGGAAAAGAACGAAGATTTTGTCTTCTAACATAATATTATTATTAATAATGAAAATTATCTTAGAGATGGCATGGATGCAACACGGTCGCGATATCAAGGGAACAAACTCATGTATTACAATTTTAACTTCTTTTATCCTTTGTTGTGTCCCCTGAATAGAATCGCAATGTTGTATCATAATTTATTAATCTTCACACCCCCCACCCCCTTACCCCTCCTCCTATCCCCGCATTGCTTGCTCTCTCTCTCTCTCTCTCTCTCTCTCTCTCTCTCTCTCTCTCTCTCTCTCTCTCTATCTCTCTCTCTCTCTCTCTCTCTCTCTCTCTCTCTCTCTCTCTCTCTCTCTGTATCTAGCTTAACGCTAGTATTGTTACCAAAAATTGTTCATTTAATTTATATTATGCGTGTGACTGTGAACCTGTGAGTGCAACTGGAGTACACGCATATTTACGAGCACAGATGTGTGTAGAAGAGAGGATGTTTGAGAGAGTGGGGGGGGGGGGTTGTTGTTGTTGTTTTGTTTTTGTTGTTGCTGTTGTTGTTGTTGTTGTTGTTGTTGTTGTTTTGTTGTTGTTGTTGTTGTTGTTTTGTTTTGTTGTTGCTGTTGTTGTTGTTGTTTTGTTGTTGTTGTTGTTTTTGGTTGGGGTGTTGGGGGTTGTTGGGGTTTTTGTTGTTGTTATTGTTGTTGTTGATGTTGTTGTTGTTGTTGTTGTTGTTGTTGTTTGTTGGTTGTTGCTTTTTTGGGTAAGTGGAAGTAACTGCATAAGATCTTGTGAGCGCGCGGGACACACCAAACATTTTTCAGTCGGTAGGAAATTTTGAATTTTGCCCTGGTGGCGGCCGAAGCCTGCTCTTATATCGATTTTGGACCACCAAGGGATCTTTAATTTGCGCAACTTGCAGACGATATCTCCTAGAGTTTTGCCTTTGTCCGAGAAGGTTAGGTGTAGACCTTACACACCATATGACCAGGTGTGTGGCAGAAAGACAGCAGTGAAAAGGAGCCAAGGAGAAGTAGTAGAAAGGCTACAGAAAGAGTCAGGAGCCCAGGGGAGGGGTCAAAGGAGCTGATGGTGTGGGGGCTAAAGGTGGAGACGAAAGCAGACGGCAGAATATTGTTAGAGAACAGGAATGGATGCAAAAGAAGAAAATTCAGGGGGGGGGGGATCGGATACGAACCCGGAATCTATTGAATAACAGGCGAACACCTCTAACCTCTAGGCCATGAGAGCCCCCCGAGAGATAGTAGTTAGTGTGTATGAATGGAAGTGAACGCGCGTTTGTATGTGTGTATGTATGTGTGTATGTATGTGTGTATTTGTGTGTGCGTGCGTGTGTATACGTGTGTATGTTTGTGTGTGTGTGTGTGTGTGTGTGTGTGTGTGTGTGTGTGTGTGTGCGTGTTTGTGTGTGTGTTTGTGTGCGTGTTTGTGTGCGTGTTTGTGTGTGCGTGTGTGTGTGCGTGCGTGTATGTGTGTGTGTGTGTGTCCTTTCTCTCTCTCTCTCTCTTCCTCTCTGTGTGCCTGTCTCTCTCTCGTCCTCTCTCCTATATCTATCTCTTTCTCACCCCCCCCCCCTCTCTCTCTCTCTCTCTCTCTCTCCCTCTCTCCCTCTCCCTCCCTCTCTCTGTCTCTCTCTCTCTCCCTCTCCCTCTCCCCCCCTCTCTCTCTCTCTCTCTCTGGGTATAATTATGTTCACACATATTTTGGTGTGTTTATGTGTGTGTGTGTGTGTGTGTGTGTGTGTGTGTGTGTGTGTGTGTGTGTGTGTGTGTGTGCGTGCGTGCGTGTGTAGACCTATTATTTTGAAGCAATCACCTGTGTCTTAACAATAATTATGTTCTTTGAAGATCCAGCCTACACGAAAAAAAACCAAAAAAACCTTGTTCTTGAGTAATAGGCACCCCGTATAAGCCCTCGGGCTCGTATTAGAATTTTTTTTTTTTAAAACAAAAAAACCCAACTATATCTAGATCTTGATCTAGATTAGATCTACTTTCATTTACCATTTGTGTTTGGTTTGGCGTGAAACTTCCGCAAAATTCAATTATTTCGTTTCCTGTTTGTGTGTTATATCTATCGTCAACTTTTTGCTCCATCCAGGTGTGTCACCGCGCCGCGCAGGTGTCAACCTCACAAAATCGCTTCCGCTTTGACCTATTTTAGTAACGCCAAGGAAATGGCGACCTGCAGGTAAATGTTATTATATGTGTGGTTGGTGTGTTTGTGTTCAGAAACTTTCCCAGAAGCCCATTTCTTCTCTTTTATTCCATAGATTAATGTCTGTTTTGTTTCATATCTGATATGGCATCTAGATCTAGTTGTGAGAAGAATCAGTTATGGCTATGAGTGGTGACCATTTAGTTCGATCCCAGGTCTTAGATTTGAATTGAATGACAAAACTCTTCCGGGAAGATGGCGGAAAGATATATAAGCGCTTAGTGATATAATTCTAGACTTTAGAGAAGTATAGACTCGTCTGTGGACTTTTGTTGATTTGGTTTGTTTTTGTTTTGTTTTGTTTTTTGTTTGGGGGGGGCAGACTACTCTGCAGCTTCACAGGTCACAGGCTCATGAGACGATGAAAAGTGACACTGCTCAGTCTGCTGTCTGATCATGACAGGACTCCAGGCGAAAGTATCTGTTATAAAAATACTGCGACGATTACTATGATAGTGTAGATCTACGCACTATCATTATCATGATGGCTATGTAACTCAGTTGTTTCTGTGTCATCGGTTCTCTCAGGTGTAGTGTAACACCTAGCTAAATATATACAGTATATCCCAAGGCCAAGGATTCCATATCCCAATGTCCCCTCTTCTGCACTGCTACAATTAAAGGCCTTCCACAATTAAAACTGGAAGAAGTAGATCTAGTCATTTACTCTAAAAATGGATAGATCTAGATATCTAGATCTATATAAAAATTAATATAATACAATTTAGGCCGGCTCTATTTTTCCGAACGCTCAGGAAAATAAACTTGAACTCTTATTTCTCTGAACGGTTTTCATTCTCGAGATTTGTTGGTTGTTTGCGAATGGAGTGGCCCGTGTGTGTGTATAGACTATACTATAGACTAGATCTAAGGTGCGAACGGGTTGGGGAGGGGGGGGGTCGTGAAAGGATTTTTTTTTTGGTTTACATGAAGGATTTTAGTTTTTGCTTTAGGTCGAGCAGTCTTGTTTTCTCGCAGTATCTTTTATTTGAAGGCATTTTCAAATGAAGTATATTCCGGGAACGTACTTGCCCTAACCACAATTGAAGTATCTGAATATTCAGACATTTAAAAATCTCAAATTAATACACACAGCATGCGCATAAAGCTTTCAAGTTTATTCTGTTTTCTTAAAAGGGCCAGTGTTGATAAAATGTAACTAAAGAAATGCTAGCTCACAGTCTTTTCAGAATGGCAGAATAAAGATGATGCTGAAATAGTCTCAAATTTTTTTTTTTAATCTTGAGAACGGAAACCGTTCGGAGAAATGGAGGTCAACTTTATTTTTCCGAGCGTTCGGAGAAATAGTCACTTCGAAAAAGTGATCACAGATCACAGCTGCAGCTCTGTTGTCATTTGCTCTTAACTCTTTCCGGATATATCGGCGCGAGTCCACACCCTTTGAGGACATATCGCCGATATATCGTCTGTGATAGGGTGCCTCAGTATTGTTTCGTTTTAACATGATCCATCATTTTTAATTACTAATATTGTTATTGAAAACTTGAAAAGGATAGGAAACGAAAACATCTAGTTTCACTTTGTCAAAGGGTGGGTTTTGGGAAAAACGAGTGAATTAGTTCTTGCGGTCTTGCATCAACAAAACAATATAACTGGACTCTGTACATAAATATCATAAACTCAAACAAAAATTGGAATATTATTGCTTTCAAATAAAAAGCTGCGCATTCAGAAATTTATGGATTATGCCCTTTGCCAGTATATGATAAGATAGCAATGCTGACTTGCTTTCACATGTTTGGTGAATGTAATTTTTTCCGTCAAAATTTATTTTTCTCATCACCATCGCAATTTCTAACCCCTGTAATGCATTTTTTTATGTTCAAAATTAATCCTTGTTTCATGTTGGGATGTATTCTTCATTCAATTTTTTTCAATTTGATATATATGTTAGTTTTTGAGTGATGGTTATGTTTATATGGGACATGTGGTTACTTGAGAGAGGCATTGCGCTGCCAAGAGCGAAATGCTCGCAGCTAAAGGGACTTGAAAACAACAACAACAGCATGTTTATATGAAGTTATTTTGTACATCACCTGTGTAGCCAAATCAAGCCACATGTTAAAAAACTACGTCCGGAAAGAGTTAATTCTTTCCTGTCACACATCTATCCCCTTATTTTTATCGTTCCTCCTTTGTTGTGTTTGTTATTGTCGTGTTACACCTGTGATCTTTTATTTAGAATTTGGAAATTGCTTGTGTGTAGAACATCTTCAGTGAGAGCTGTCAGGAGACATCAAACAAACTTTCATCTAGGTTGGGAGGGGAGGGGGGGCGGGTAGTCAAGATGGCACCCGAGTCAGAGACTGTCCCAAACAACACCAAAGCTTTGGGAGATCACCATGGAAGCAAGTAATGGTATCGGTATCTAAAGTTACCACATATTTGAGTTCAAGAAATTTAGAATATACCAAGATGGAACTAGAATTATATCATTTTAATTATAAAAGTGCTGTTAGTTTTCAATAAGTTGCTACATACAGCCCACAGAGGGTCTTAAGTGTTTCGTATGTTTGCAATTTTTTATCAAGAGGTGTATACCATGTCCCATTGTGTGGCTTGGCTTATAACTTGTTTTTATTGGATTTTTAAATTGTTTTTTCAGAAGCAGTGAATGGATAGGCATTCTGGGCTATGGTGTGGGTGTTCCTAGTTGAGTCCAAGTTGAGGATTTTTTCAGCTATGGTTCTTTGGGAATTGTGAAGGGAGAGTCTGGTTTGATGTTAATTTGGAAGGTCTTTCCTCTTTTTATCAATGTGTAGGTCTGTTTCAAGGGCTGTCATGCAAGATTATTGAATGGATTCTAACGACTACTTGTCCAAACACAATTACAATTGCCTGTTCAAATGACCACTTCCTATTTCCCCCTTGCACTTTTGAAAGTGTATCATAATGACAGTGTCCAAGAATTACTCCTGTCTCAGACAACCACTTTTCTCCTCAACTATTGAGTGGCCATCTTGGACAATTTAAACTAAGTATTCTAATATCTTTGTGTGGTTTTTTTTCCCTTCAGATGCTAAAGACAAGAATGTTAAGGAGTGTGTTCAGTGTGTCAGTGCTGGTGGTCACTGCTTTGGCAGGTAAGTGTATGCATATACTTGGGAGGGCTGGCTCCACCAGTAGGCCGTACGTTTCTTTTCTCTCCTGATATGTCCTTATTTAGACTACCTGTCTGTCTCTATTTAGCTTGTTATCTGCACTTTATAATTACCAATGTTGTATGGATCTTCTTCTGTGAAACCTAACTTCTATTTGTGAAGTAACAAATTTATTGTGTCTGTGACATGAAAAATGAGTTGGGAGATCATAGTTTCCCAATTATAATTATACAATAAGTTTGTGGTTCTTGTTGTATTCCATCTGTAAAACCAGGTTATTGCTTTTCCTCACAGACAGTTATGATTTTACACACAAATACAAGACTGGGCTATGGTTCTTGTTGTCCTACTTGTGATTCAGAGAGTTTGTGGTTTTAGTAGATTGTAAAGCAGAGTCAAATACATTTCTCAATAAATATATATGTAAACATTCATAGGATGGAAATGCATTTAATGAAAGACCATCATGATATTTGAGTTGAAGTGATCTTTGAATGATAGATCCCAAACAGTTGGTTGCTTTTCCTGGAAAAAAAAGCTACTTTGAAGGTGGCCCATCTTCTGCCCTGAACAGTATACTTTTAGTTTTCCAACTTGTAACCATGAAATAGATGGTGTCAGATTCTAACTGTGTCACATGTGAATGAAAGATTTAATATTTTTTTCTTTTTAATTTCTTTTTTGGTTCTATTATGTATTTTCTTGAGGTCAATTTGCGGTCCTTGATAAAAAAAATTATGTGTCAACATGCACTATAAATAGTATAAAAGTGCTGTGTTTTTGTGGCTTTTTTTGCTTTTTCAAATCCGTAGGCTCTCATAGTGCTTTTTTTTTTAATGTTAACAAGAAACTGGTTCCTCCGATGTGAGTGGTTAAAGGGCACCACTGATAAGTCCTACTTCTTTTCTTTCCCTCCTTTTTGTTTCTTTATGTCTATTGCACTTTTTACTCCTTCATATTCAATGAAATGATTGCTGCTGTGTCAATGTGCTTCTCGGTTTGTCAACGTTCGAATTTGACGGCTGTGTCTGTTTTCTGCTCCAGTGTCGCGTCCACCAGCTATCTTCCTCCAGCCTACTAAAAACATTTACTACAAGGCTTATGAGACAGTACAGATGCCATGCAAGGCAACTGGAGAACCCAAACCGGGGTGAGTCTATGTGTGTTGGTGAACCTGTGTTTGAGTGTATGTGTTGAACTCTTAAGGTAAACTCACAAAGATACTTCCTTTCATGAATGCCATATGGTCTCTCTGGGTGTGTTTCTCGCTTTTTCCCAACACTTAATGACTGTTATAATGTCAATGTGCTTCTTTTTTACTTGTACTCAAAAAAGGAACTTCAGTTTGATGAATGTTTCAGGGTGTCTCTAGAGTAGATACTGGGACATCTTACTTCTTTTCTTTCTGTCTGTTCTTTCTGTTTGCCTGTCTAGCTCTTTTCCTCTAAAGACCTGCCAAGTACTCTGATAATACCAGAGCCCTCCAATTTTTATTAATTTTTTTTTTTTGGGGGGGGGGGGGGGGGTTATAGAAGAATCCTGATGGCATTTGCATAAAATCATTTTTTCCATTTTGAATTCCATTTCCAACCTGTCATATGCAAGTTATCGTATGTGATGTGAAGATACACTGGTTTATTTGCAATAAGTGTCACGACACAGTAGAATCAGGTGCTCGTCAGTTTGGGGGCATATGAAGTTGTTAGTACCATCTTAAAGCTTGTTCATTTATTTTGCATTTGCCGAAAAAAATACACATCTATCTAACACAGAAGGCAAGATATTTGCAATTGTAGGAGGTGGGGTTAGCCTTGTGTTGAAGGTAAGATTAGGGAGAAAATGGCTGCCAAATTCGGTGACTTCCAAAGCTTGAGTGTCCTTGGAAAGTACAAATATACGTTTTTCAGAAAAATCCACATAGAAATGTGTTCTTAAGTTGACATAGAAGGTATTCAGTGAAAAAAAGAAAATTTAAAAAAAAACTGCCCAACGGTCACAAAAATGGAGATTTCCTTGATTACATTATTGTAACAAGCGCCTGGTTTCACATATTTGTGTGACTTAATGTAAATGACGTGAAAATACACATTTTTAATTGCATGTACAGTTGAGCCTTCCTGAACCCATTGCACCCGAGCTACAAATATATTCGTAGCTGCCATGCACGCACTTCCGTCCACGAGCTACGAGAATAGTCGTATCAAAATACCAATCCACAAAATCGAATCTGAACTACTTATCCAGGTTACTATTGAAAATAATAGGTCATTTGTAGCTTGTAAAAACTATTGCAAGCTTGTTTCAATCTAGTTTTTCGTCAATAAGTTCGAGCTAGTTTTGTTGTTTTAATGTCACCGCATATCATGGCAAGAAAGCGAGTGCTGAAATCTTCATGGACGAGAAGAAGAAAAAAATAGTCACAAAAAAAACAGCAGTGCCACAGATATTTTTGTGTTTGTTGAAATACATGGACCATGTTTTTAGTTTTGTTTTACGCATAAGCGGCAAAGAAAGTGAAAGTAGACAGGGCGATCGGATTGATTTTAGGGCTTTGAAAACTTTGAAGAAAAGCTTGATCTAGACCATAGATTTACTATAAGTTGCTCTATGGCTAAATCAAGTGCCGACGAGTCGCAGTCGGACGAAGAATATATTGTTTTCCCTGCCCTTTCCTTCATCTTTCTCTCTAATAATATTAAAAGAACATTTTAAGTAAAATCTAAGCAAAATTTCATATTGATGGTTTAAATAGTTAGGGCACAATCCGTGTCTAAGTTTAGTGTGTCGAGTTCAGACCGGTTTTTCAGTGGCTCGCGGCCAGCCAGGTGGACACAAGTGCCCTGCTGCGGCAACGCAGGGTGAATTGGGTCAAGAGAAACCTGTAAAAAATGGAACCCTATTATAACAGAATCGCCTTGATTCAAACCCACAACCTTATAGTGAATAGTTCAAGAGCTTAACCACTAGACCACAGACTCCACCAAACTTTTGTCTTTTTGTTCTAGCTACTTCTGGAAGAGGAACGAGATTGATTTCAACCCAAGTGGCAATGACGTGCGTATTGTCCAGCTCCCCGGGGCCGGCACGTTGGTCATCAACCGGCCAGAGGACAAGGATGAGGGCATCTACCAGTGCTTCGCTCGCAACGACTTTGGCATCTCCGTCTCCGTCACCGTCAACCTGAGGCAGGCCCGGTTGGGCAAGTTTGATTACGCCAAGCCTCGCAATCACTACCCTCGCCTGGGCCAGCCGTACATGCTGAACTGTGTGCCTCCTGAGAGCGTGCCGCCCCCTGCCGTGTTCTGGGTCACCAAGCTCAAGATTGGGGGCATGGAGGTGCTCAACTACGATGCACGTGTCTCGATGGATCGAGAATGTGAGTCCTACACTTTCTATGCTTGTGGGTTGTGTTTTATACCTGTGATTATTCTACTCATTTTGCTTGAGGAGTAAACCATGCTCATATCTCAGTTGATTGGAAATGGAAATAACTGTTCCCTCGGTTGCTCTTTGTGTGTGTGAGGGGGTGGGAGGGTGTTATACCTAGTGTTATCTCAATTAAGTACCTCTGTTTTGTTGAAGAAAGTAAGAGATACCTGCGTTTGCTTGGACTGGTAATAATACTGATGATAATAGTACATGACATTTATATTGTGCATTTCCATGATTTACAATGCTCAGTGCACTTTACAAGACATATTACAAGCTTACAATGGCATTAAAATACATGCAGTACAAGGGCTTCCATGAACATCACTTTGACATGAAATGGTGTAGATATCTATATTAATGTAAAAGTACATGTATGCCCTGACACAAGCAGTAACAGGTGTAAGTATAGAAAAAAATTCATGTAAATAGTTTTGGGAAAAAAAATCAACCTACGGTAAAGAAAGCTAAGATATCATTATGTATTATACGATTTTGGTGTCACAATCTTCTCGTCACTTTTAGACCTCCGATTTATTTTATGCCTAGGTAGAATTCAGGATGACGGGGCCTGGTGTTCATGATTTTTAACTTAAAGAATTTATGGAATTATGAATTAATTTTTGGGCTTAGTATATTTTAACTACTGGCCGACAAATATGTTTTGTCTCCTTGTTTGTTCAAATCGGGACTCAGCAGCCCGCCGGAGCTCCCCGGCTCGGGGTCACAGGGTTAATGAGCCCTGAAGCAACTTTGCCAGTTAAGAAGTTTGCATTTTTGTCTACGTTTGAAACGATATAACTTCTTCCCCATTCCAGACAGCATACCATTACGCGGATGTACAAAAAAGCTCAATGTCTTGAACGGTTAATTTCTGTGCCTTAGTTTTTATTCTTGACAAGCGTTTGTAGAGTGCCCAATTTGTCCTGTTTTAGTTACATACTTATGAACAAATGATTGTTTATTTTAAAATGGCATGACAGATCTCTCCAAAATATGTGTTACACTGACTACGAATATCGTGTCTTTTACCATGAAAAATCTTTAATCTGAGCTAGTAGTAATAGTCAAGTTGTAAGAGAAGAAAGATGCACATCTGCATTTTTTAACTAAAGACACTCAGTGTTAGCTCTTGTTCTACCATTAAACAAGAGAAAGTTACTCTGTGTTTGTACATGAATCATGCTGTGTCCGTGGTAGCCTGCATACAACTAAGAAAGATATATTGTGCGATTTTTTAAAAACACAAAACTGTGTTAATACCTGGGTAGAGATGAACTTCTTGTAAGGAGTAAAAATAATGACAGCTAACACTTTCATTCTTAGTTTGTGTGTCGGACATATGCGCAGATACTTATGAATGTAAGAAATCAAAACATTGTCAGTTATTGCAAATGGTCATAGGAACGAAAATAAAACTGGAAAAGTCTGGTGCTTATTCAGCGTCACTGGAAAGCTAGAAACTATTCTTGTAATACAATTAGGAGAATTCATCCCTGTTATTTAGTCAACTTACAAAACCTAGACTTAACACTTAACATTTCCAAAAAAATAAGGAATTTATGGAGTGTTACAGACACTGTTTGAGTATGACATTGTAGATGTATTCTGGCTCTAAAATCGGTTTGTACTTTTTCATAGAGAGACTTCAGGGTAATTTTGATAAACTTTAGAAAAAATATGCGAATATTCACGATTAAATTAGATACATAAAGTTGTATTTGGAGGAATTACTTCATAGCGAATAGTGTGACAGATGGATAAAGTTGCAGAATTACAGCTTCCTATTATATGCGCAGACACCATCTTTTCTGAGTATCTGCACCAGTGTTATGTTGTTCATGTTCCAAAAGTTCGACAGTTTTTGTCGTGCCGGGTTTTTTTTTTTATTGATTTTTTTCATTCACACTTGTCCAAAAATTTTTACAATTTAGCATTGCCGACTTCAGCACGTCTAAGGAAATAACCAGACCAGTACAATGTCCGTTCTTTTTTGGGTGTCAGGAGCAGAAATGCGTGCTTTGGGTGCATTAAATGATAATTACCGTAAATACAAGGATACACCTAAAACTGTACGTTGAAAAGTACCAAAAATCAAGTCAGCACAGACAGAGCAGCGACAGGGAGCTGACCCCCGTGACCCCGGGTGATAAGGCGCCCGGCGGGGAACACCCCTCCCCCCCCCCTGCTACAACTAAAATTCCACTGCCGGTGTGCCGTGACATATTTTATGTCTTTCTTTTCAGATCGGCTAAGATTTGCTCATGTGGAACCTGGGGATGACAAAGATGGCCAACCGTATGCCTGCGTGGCTTCCAACAGCATCATGAGAGACAACTCACCAGGACCGCTGCACTATATGATACCTCAAGGGCGTAAGTCTGTGCTCTGTGAGCTCTTTTTTTCTCCAAACATTTGACAAATCAATATTACGCGGATGCTGGATAAATGTACTTTTGATCGATAACTTACAGTCTGACTAAAGTGAGAGAAAGAAAGAAAAAGAGAGAAGGGAGGGGGGCGGCAAGAGAGGAGAGGCTTAGTGATGAGCAATGAATATACAAGGGATGATATAAAGACATAGGGCTGGAGAAGATAAACAAATAGATAGACAGCCTTAAGGAGATAGAGAGAGATGCACCATGAACTCAGTGTTTGTCAGCTTCAGCAAGCTGTTTCTTTTTTTTTTTTTATGTATTAACACATGAAAAGTAGGCGTGGTCACAACATGTAAATCTTGAGAAAATCAAATGTTAAAGCTTGTAGACTAACATCTTTATTTCTGTTACATTGCTGACTTACTATTTTTACTAGTTGCTGTTGAATGTATGAGCATTTTAAGACAGTGTTGCGAAAGTAAAGTGCATTTCAGCGTTTCTTTTCATCTACAATGACAATATTTTGTCGAATTTTGTGACCCTTCCTGTTTTCCCACGTGGATTCCTCACATAATATTTGTTTTCAGTTTGTCTATTTTCTTTTTCCCTTCTTTTAATGATCCTTATAATGATGATGGGAGCGTAAAATATTTACAGAAATGATTATTGGTATCCTCAGGTATGGAGTATCGGACTGTAGAGTACCTTTGGGCTGATCAGAATGACAGGTTTGGTCTGGCAGGGGACACCTTCAATGTCAAGTGCATCTTTGGTGGCAAGTAAGTGGAGACATCATCTCGCTTTGAGTTACTAGTTGTCAAAGTTGAATCAATTTGTGCCGCTCTGCTCTGATAGGGTTATGGTGGGTGCTGTGGTGTGGTTTTGCTCCTTCTTTCCTGTCAAACATCTATATTGCCTTCATTTTTTTTTTAAACGTAAATGCAGCTTTACAATTTTACTTCAGAGCCAATCTCATGCTATTATTTTTTTTTCATTTGGTTTGCTGGAAAGAGAAATCATAAGCATTTCTTTTTATAGTTACAGGAAATTAGGTCACAGCATGCAAATGAGATAGCATAAGCTAAAGACTTACATGTCACAGTAAAGATAATGTAATTACCTTTACAATGATGTACAATATTTATACCTTAAAGGCTGACCTTTTTCATTAAAAATTTTGTCCGTATCATTTCTCGATTACTTATGAGAAAAGTGGAAAAACCTAGATGGAAGAGATTAAGACACTTACAACTTTTGCTCCCCCAGCCCCACACCTGATGTCCACTGGGAGCGGACAGACAACAAAACCATGTCGGACCGAGCGAAGCTCAAAAGTTTTGCCCAGGAGCTGGAGATCACAAATCTGCAACCAGAGGATGCTGGGAAGTACGAGTGTTGGGCCACCAATTCCATGAGTCAAGAGAGGAAGATCAGGACGTTCTCCATACGTGTGCAATGTGAGTTTATGTCACTCAGTCTTTTCTCTCTCTCTCTCTCTTTTTTCTTAATTCTTTTTTTTTTTTTTTTGGTAAGTGTTCTCTCTCTCTCTCTCTCTCTCTCTCTCTCTCTCTCTCTCTCTCTCGCTAATATGATATAACAGGGTGATCGAAAAAAATGTATGTCTATAATCCCCAAATAATGTCTCTATATTAAATTATTTATACGCCGATCTGTAGAACAACTTTTCGGAGACGTCGTGTTCAAAT